CTAGTCAATTACAAAAGCTTATGGAAGAGTGGATGCTGATGGCTCTAGGTACTTGCTTGGCGATCATGCTGGTCTTCTTCACCTCCTGGTCATTACCCATGAGAAAGAAAAGTATGTTGTAATTATTCTTTTCAAATGTTATTGTTGAACAGTTTGGAGAAAAAATATTGACTGAATTATATATATATATCAGTATCAAAGCTTGATTTTAGTTTTAAAGTAGTATGCACTAATTAGGCCTTCTTAAGATATAGTTAGTGCATCTTGCAGGGTTACTGGACTCAAGATCGAACTCTTGGGAGAAACTTCTATTGCTTCCACAATATCATATCTTGATAATGCATTTGTCTTTATTGGCTCAAGCTATGGAGATTCACAGGTACATATATTTCGTACTCTTCTCTATTACCAGTGTAACCTTATTCAGAGTTATTATTACTAGAGTAAGTTCTGAGGGTAGTCAGGGTACTATTTTAACCTGATTCAAAACTATTACTAAGATAAGTCCTGAGGGGTAAGTGAGGGATCACAAGCTGATAATTATGTGGAATACAAACTTAATCTGGGGCCTTGTGATACATATGTTTATCCGCAGGCCCTTTCTCCCCTCATAATAAAAAATTCCCAAATAGAATAGAAAGAGAAACCTCTTTCTCGTAGTCTACCATTCTGCTCTCATCTTTTAAATTAGTATTTCCTTTCAAGTGAATAACATTCTTCCTTGGCATTATGTTTTGCTGTACTAATGCAGTTGATAAAGTTAAATCTACAACCTGATGCAAAAGGTTCATTTGTAGAAGTTTTAGACACATATGTCAATTTGGGGCCTATTGTTGACTTCTGTGTGGTTGACCTTGAGAGACAAGGGCAGGGTCAAGTTGTAACTTGCTCTGGAGCTTATAAAGATGGTTCTCTTCGCATAGTTCGAAATGGAATAGGAATCAATGAACAGGTCTGTTTTGTGTTTTATAGAATTCTTTTACACTTCAGTAAGTTTACCATTTTATACTTGCATCAGCTCACATCTTAGTTCACTTATGCATGTTAGGCCTCAGTAGAACTTCAAGGTATGAAAGGAATGTGGTCGTTGAGATCCTCTACAGATGATCCATTTGACACCTTTCTGGTTGTCAGTTTTATCAGCGAGACACGTATTTTGGCTATGAATCTTGAGGATGAGTTGGAAGAAACTGAGATTGATGGGTTTAATTCTCAAGTGCAGACTCTGTTCTGCCATGATGCTGTTTACAATCAACTTGTACAGGTGAGGCTTGCCATCATATTGGCAGCAGTGAGAACGAGCATACGGTAGATGAAGTTTGTTCGTCTTATATTATTGTTTTTATTTATTCCAGTGTTAGCATCTATATTATTGTTTTTATTTATTCCAGTGTTAGCATCTATATAATCTAGCTTTTATTCTAATCTTATACAAAGAAAATTCTATGAGATGATCACTGGGTCTTGCTATTTGCCCAGTTAAAGGTTAGATCAGTAATTATGAAAAATACATATTATATGTGCTTCATGGAGATGACTATCCAGCTCAGTTGGTAGAGCATAAGGTTTTTAGCCTTGAGGTCGTGGGATCGAGTCCCATGGAGGGCATTTCATAATTCGGAGGTCTCCTACGGAAGCTGCTCTCAACCTAGTGTTGAGGGCAGCCTACTATCTTACCTCCCTCTTACCCCATTACATATGGGAACAAGAGACAACCATATGTGCTTCATGCTTGACTGATGACCCTCATGGCAGGTCACTTCAAGCTCTGTAAGGCTTGTGAGTTCAATATCTAGAGAGCTACGGGATGAATGGAATGCGCCATCTGGGTATTCGATCAATGTCGCCACTGCCAATGCTACCCAGGTAGTTTTTCCTGTATTGTTTAATGTTGAGATTGGATATTAGGTTTGTATGTAGGTGTTCAAATTATTATTTTTTATAATCTAACAAATAATTGTCTTTTTATATGGCTTTTGGAATGGAATGTTTAGGTTTGATTTAATATCTTCTTGCATTTTCTACCCTTAACAAATACCTCTAATATAAAGGACTTCCTATGTAAGTCTTCTCATTGTTTTTGTATTACAGATTTTACTAGCAACAGGGGGTGGCCATTTGGTTTATTTGGAAATCAACGATGGCAAATTGACAGAAGTAAAACATGTGCAGTTGGAGTATGAAATCTCATGTCTTGACATTAACCCCATCGGTGAGAACCCTAACTCCAGCCAGTTGGCTGCGGTTGGAATGTGGACTGATATAAGTGTGAGGATATTTTCACTCCCACACCTGAATCTCATCACAAAGGAACAATTGGGAGGAGAGATTATTCCTCGTTCAGTTCTTCTTTGCACCTTTGAAGGGGTACGGGTTATTTGATATTTCTTCAGCTTTAATCTTATCTTGCTGATTTATTTTGCTTCTCTTTTTATATGTTTAAATGGGTACAAGTTTATTTGATATTTCTTCAGTTTTATTTTTATCTTGCTGATATATTTTGAGTCTCTTCTGATATGTGTGATTATTCATTTTAAACTGATCTATTTAAGAGTACTGCTATTAAACCTCTGTTTGTCACTTGGAACTATGATATTTGGCATTTATGTTTCTATGTTCCCAACACCATACATTGTAGTGTAATATTTTTATCATAATATGTTTAGAGCTTTGTTTGTTTGCCCTTTTTGCAGATCTCTTACTTGCTGTGTGCCCTTGGAGATGGCCATCTTCTAAATTTCCAATTAAATTTGAGTAATGGTGAGTTAACAGATCGGAAAAAAAGGTTAACGCTTTGTACATTCTCCTCCAAGAATTCCACACATGTATTTGCTGCTTTGTTTGCCCTTTTTGCAGATCTCTTACTTGCTGTGTGCCCTTGGAGATGGCCATCTTCTAAATTTCCAATTAAATTTGAGTAATGGTGAGTTAACAGATCGGAAAAAGGTTTCTCTTGGGACACAACCTATAACGCTTTGTACATTCTCCTCCAAGAATTCCACACATGTATTTGCTGCATCAGATAGGCCAACTGTCATTTATAGTTAGTAACAAAAAACTGCTGTATAGCAACGTCAATCTGAAGGAAGTCGGTCATATGTGTCCTTTCAACTCTGCTGCTTTCCCAGACAGGTATGCTTCTTTTTTTCTCTTGCTTGAAACGGCTTTTTAATTTGGGAAGAAAGAATATCCTAGTCATTTTATTGGTTCATATGATGTTCTGTATTTATTTAGCCCATGTTATTTTAACCGAGCTGTCTTTTTCCTCCAGCCTTGCAATTGCAAAAGAAGGAGAACTTACTATTGGCACTATTGATGATATTCAAAAGCTTCATATCCGCACTATCCCACTTGGTGAGCATGCACGTCGAATTTGCCATCAAGAACAGTCTCGTACCTTCGCAATATGTAGTTTGAAAAACCAGTCTAGTGCCGATGAATCTGAAATGCATTTGATCCGCCTGATAGATGATCAAACGTTTGACTTTATCTCGACTTACCCTCTTGATACTTTTGAGTATGGTTGCTCCATACTTAGCTGTTCGTTCTCGGATGACACCAATGTATATTACTGTGTGGGGACTGCATATGTTTTGCCAGAAGAAAATGAGCCTACAAAGGTGCAATCTCTTGTTTTCTACATTTTTCTAATATCGGGTATTAAATCAAGCTTTTGATGCGAATAAGGGAAATTCCAAACCTGCACTTTCTTCACAGGGCCGTATATTGGTTTTTGTTGTTGAAGACGGGAAGCTACAGCTTATTGCTGAGAAGGAAACTAAGGGGGCGGTTTACACTTTAAATGCTTTCAATGGCAAACTACTGGCTGCTATTAATCAAAAGATCCAACTCTACAAGTGGATGCTTCGGGAGGATGGCACCCGGGAATTCCAATCTGAATGTGGACATCATGGCCACATACTTGCCCTGTATGTACAAACTCGTGGTGATTTCATCGTTGTCGGTGATTTAATGAAATCAATTTCCTTGTTGATCTACAAGGTAAGTAATTAGTCTTCACACCCTGTTAAGTTTTTCTTCCAATTCTTCAATCTTTTCTTTCTTTCTTTGCTTTCAGCATGAAGAAGGTGCAATTGAGGAACGAGCTCGTGACTATAATGCCAACTGGATGTCAGCTGTTGAGATTCTTGATGATGACATTTATCTCGGGGCTGAAAACAACTTCAACTTATTCACGGTCAGGAAGAATAGTGAAGGAACTACTGATGAGGAACGGGGACGCCTTGAGGTGGTTGGTGAGTACCACCTTGGGGAATTTGTCAATCGGTTCCGTCATGGTTCTCTCGTCATGCGATCCCCAGATTCTGATGTGGGCCAAATCCCAACAGTCATTTTTGGCACAGTCAATGGTGTTATAGGTGTCGTTGCTTCTCTTCCTCATGAACAGTACATCTTTTTGGAGAAGCTGCAGTCGAGCTTGAGAAAGGTAATAAAGGGTGTTGGCGGGTTGAGCCATGAACAATGGAGATCATTCAACAATGAAAAGAGAACTGCAGAAGCGAAAATTTTTTTGGACGGTGATTTGATCGAATCGTTCCTTGACCTGAGCCGTGGTAAGATGGAGGAGATTTCGAAGGCGGTCAATGTTTCGGTGGAGGAGCTTTCCAAGAGAGTCGAGGAACTAACGAGGTTGCATTGATCTGATCTGTTGCTGACGTTTACCTTTGAAGTTGTTCCGTTTTAATTTGCCTTTTCTATTTATTCTTTGTTCGGACTTTATTGACAGTATAAGATTCGCATTTCCTGGTGAAAACTGAGATGCATGTTATATATATATTATAACTCCACCAATCTATTATGAAGCTTCTCTTAGTTTCTTGGCCAACAAAAACTCTCAATTCGATCCTAAAAAGGTATAATATAAAATTAAAAAATTTACACATTATAAACGATTATGCCTCTTATATATATATTAATCCTCGTGACATCATCCGATCGGAAATATTGTTTATATGATATAGTGGCTGGATCATGTTGAAGCTTTGAAAACAAGCCCTGCATCAAAATGGATAATGTGCTATGTTGAAGATTGAAACCTGTCCAAACTCATACTTATCATTATCTCGAATAGCAAGACCTTTGCTTAGACTCAACAAATCCCGGCACAAAACATTTCATACAATTTCAACACCGTTCAATCAAAATCAGTTTGTCGAGTTCTCCGAGGTCTGGGGAGTTTCTTCCGGCTGTGAACGGATGTGAACGTCCTCAAAGACTTGAACACAAGCTTTTGAGAGTCCCATTAATGCCTGAAATACGTTGGGAAGGCTAGTCTTCAAGCTGTTTAAAATCATGGCCTTGCTTACCTGGACTGAGTTTAGATGTTTGGCCTTCTCTGTATCAACCCGCTTCTTTAAGACTTCGGTTTTCGCACGCTTAACCGATAAAGGATGCTTGGGGCTCAGCATGGAGTTCACATCGCCCTCGACCTTTTTCTCCATCTCAGCCAGTGAAATTAACTCCTTCTGCAACCTTTTCTCGAGTTTCTCGAATTTTCTTTGCTGGTTGTGCTCTTCGGCCTGCTGTTGGATTATAGATTCGACTGCCAACAGAAAGCTTTTAACGGTCTCTGAGGCCGCCTGCATGACACTGGAGATTAGTAAAGAGAACTCCAAATGATAGAATAGAGGGTCAACTAAAATGCTGCTCGAGTTACCTTATCAGGTAATTTTACAAAACCATGCTGCCATTCTTCGGAGAGCCTACGAACTGCATACAAGTAATGACTCTGCTGCTGGTCGTTTACGAGGCAATCTGTAAGTTGGATCCACCGATAGAGTGTTCTTACGTACTCTTGCTGAGATTTTATGAGCTTACAGAAGCTATAATACCAAAAGGAAATCTCGGTTTGAAGCTGAGCCGTAGCCTGGCGGCGGGATTCAGTAGTCAGATCCATGCTTATTTTATCAGTGAGATTATTCAACTGCTGTGAAATATGGTTCTGGAACATATGAGATTTGTACATCATTTTCCACATCTCCATCAGACTGTAATCGGGAAGATTATCAAATTTGAGTAAATTCAATCTTGTACACCACATAAAATATATACCATGATTAAATATTATGCAGCATCGCAACCAGATTTTACCCCGAAGTTAATGCGACCAGCTGCGGATAAAGCTCCTCATCAATGAGCTCCAATATAGATGAACAGGATGCACTTATAGAATGTTGCAGGCGTGTCATGTCATTCTCCAGATTCTCAACACTCGATCGGACTTTCTCGGTCTTGGTCCAGTCATGGTTTTCGTCTTGCTTTTGCAGCAACATAAATTTCTTTTCAAGCTCCAGTTTGGTATTTTCTTCCTCCTACAAAAATCATTATCCATGAGAATACAGAAAACAGAACCAAATATGAAATAGAGACCGACGCAAAGCATAGTCATAAAATCGTCATTATACATGCAACTTATTCAAGTATTGTATTCTAATTTGATGCAGAAATTAGAATCAAATATTATATATTCTAATTATTCATGTATTAATGCAAGGACTAGGCTATGTATCACTCTTACCTTCAATTCCTTGTAAAGCTTCTCCTCGGCCGAATATAGCTTATTGAGAGTAATGCAATGAGCTCCAGGCTTGCACGGCTCACTAGATCCACACTGAAAATCATCTTTCGCAAGCTGAAGGGACTTAGAAGACCAGCTCCATGACAATGCACTAAAAACCTTAGCAGAGTTGCTCCTCTTCCCTATAGTGTGGACACACAATGAATATTTATTATTAACACAATGCAGCCAACAATATTTTATGCTCGAATAACTTATTACAAGATCAAACATCAATTTATCAAAGTAAAAATTCATCGGAATTCATCGTAAGGCCTGCACTGTGATTCGTATTGCCAAGACAACAAAAAGCACAGAAGCAAGATGGCAAATCTAATTCCACCTTCGGTTCAACTTCAAAGGCAAGTAAGCAAATAGCAAGTGATAACAAGTCGAAGATCGTAAGTGCTTGCTAAAGCAGCCGATTACATCAGATAGAACTTGCTATCCAAGCTTTTACCATAAAAGTTCCAGCAGCGATTAGACTTAGGGTAAAAGATACTAATAACAACGAACCGTTTACCTACTTTTGTTTTCATTGAGTTTCCATGGAAGAGAATTGTTTCCTACATTAATGTCTGTAAAAACAGCTATTTCCTTCCCACCAGCTGATGCTTTCAAAAAGTAGTCATCCAGCTCCTTTGTAATTCCCTCCAAAGTCTTCTTGTTCTTCGATACTAGCACGGACACATCTGTAGAGTCTTTATCGCACCAGCTCATCATTGACGAGCTATCATCGACGATTTCCCTAGGGTTGGGCCTCTCAGGGAGAGGACTTATGGTCGTATTTTCGACAAACTCTCCTGGATCTTCATCCTCAAACTCCATCTTACTCTCTGCCCAACTTTCCTCCTGAACTGATTCTATCGTTTCACTCTGTCTCGGATTATGGATAGGTGAATTAGACTCGAAAAGGTCCCAATAGTTCCATGATGAGCTTGCAGTAGGAGGTGGTGGGGTAGAACAATCATCCAGAGTGATCTCTGTGCCTTCTTCTTTGGCAGCTTCTACCTTAAGATTGTCACCAGGCTTTCTCAAATCAGGACTAAAAGAAGGTGGCGGCGGAGGTGGATGCAACGGAGAAGACGGAGAGGGAGGCAATGTCTGGACACAAGAGGTATTATCAAGTTCTAACGAGTCCGACTCGGTAAACTGTCTAAGAGTCACACCAGTGTTCTTCAATGCCCTCAAATATGCCAACTGAGCATCTGCAAATTCTCCTCTAAATCCCACCAATTGTTTCATAAGCTTCTTTCTCTCCTTACAAACCCGAACCCTCCCTTCGTTATCGATCCTCGAAGCAACACAGCCCATTCTTCAATCAGGGATCATTTAAGTATATGTTTTCTCTACTTTAACCTACAATACACAAAAAGCAAACTCATTTCTCAATGCCTTAAACGCTTCTTATAATGTAGAAAAAGGAAAGTAAGATCCAAGCTTATTCCTAAGGCTGATCATATCAGACATTCAAGAACACAACCAAATTTCTAAAACCCAAATTTGTAGTTCCCATACATATGAAATCCTTTTCTGGGAATTTTCAAAGATTTCAAATATAACAGGAGTCATGGCAAAGTAAGCAGACAAATCTCGAAGATGAACAAAACAACAGCAAAATCCCTATGTCAAAATGGTACTCGTAACTACAATGTGTTGCTTAATAGCAAACGGATTCAAACAAGGTTTTCAAAGTGATGATCTTTATAACCAAGGATCCAAACTTTCAAAACCCATAAACTAAAGATCAGAACTTTCAAAATGATCATGGCTGAAACAAAATGAACCCATATACCTTGTGAATGAAACAAAGATCAAAGAAATGTCAAAGCTTGAAACATAAGGGAAATGAGAGCAAATGGTTTGAAAAGAGTTGGAAGGTGCAAAAACACTCCCCAGTAAAAGGGAAGCTTAAAGAAATATTGTTTGGTTAGCTTTTCCAGAGAGAGAAGAAGAGTGACTCGAGGCCCAAAGACAGCAAAAGCATCCAAAGCAGAGGGAGGGAGAGCTGGCGCATTTTTTGCTACCTTTAATCAACACACTGAACCCTGCCTTCCACGCTAGCATGAGCACCTTTTAGGTATGGGCTATTATTATTTTGTTCCAAATAGGTCCACGTCTGTCGCTGACTGCGTACTTTAGTCTCCTGGGTAGCCGCGTAATTTAGTATGATACCAGGGTACATTTTAGCATGATCTCTCTTTTTGTTAATTTAATATCTAAATTATCCAAATCTCACCTCACTGACGAGGCACGCTTAAGGAAGTTTGAATCCATATAACCATATTCTCCTACAGCTAAAATATTAAAGAAAAAAAAGGATCTTTCCATATTAGAAACCTTCATTGGCGTATGCACGTTATTATCAAGGTAGATAAAGTATTTTTTCTAAGAACTTGAGTTTTTATATATGAATTATTTATTTTATTTATTGTGTTTATATTAACTCATATTTAATTATATATAAAAATTATATTATTAATATATATATATATATATATATATTTATCCTCAAAAATATTTCTACATCGATCGTTGAAAATTGGGATGAACACAAAATTTAGAGAAGAGGTAAACTTTTAGAATTTTAAAAAGAGACGAATTTATAAAATTTTGGAATTATAAAAATAGTGTTGGTAATGCTCAATCTCACATAGTATTGGAAATACTATTGAGAATGATATTTAAGGCTTGACTTTCTCACTTCCTTGTTAAGTGATAGAGAATAAGGGGGACTCTCGCGCACCGTTGCCGCCGTCCGTCTTTGAAAGAAACAAATGGAAAAATATGAAAGATTTCAACTGATATTTATAGGCTGCTGAGGACTGTTTAATTTTGAATGATAACAGCTGGTTTATGAGAGTTATCAGAAATTAAACAACTTTTCTTAAATTAAATAAAAAACGTTAAGATGTATCTGGACTGATTTACAGCTTTGTACAGAGGAGACAAGCTGTTAATATCCTGAGTTATTTGATTTAATTCCATGAGTTACATGATATAATTTCGGGAGTTATAACAGCTGGACAATGATGCAATGAACCTGGACTATTTTTTAGTCAGGTTCATCTAGACGTTTTAGTTGTTAAAAAAGAATAGATTTAATCTTGAAATTTTATAGACGATTTTAACCTTATTTCTAGCCTATAAATAGAGGGCTCTCAACTCACTCTCAAACATTCACAATTCACTTACAAAAGTGTTTTATACAGTTCCCCCTGTGAGTTCTCTCTAAGTGCTTTCCAATCAGAAGAGCAATACCACCAACAATCCACTCCGGTTTCGAGTGTACGAAATTCGGAGCGACCGTATTAACCTCGGGGGACGGTCCGCCTACTGCAGCGATTACACACATCTGGGCGAATTCGTTTCTAAGGCAGTGGTTTTTGCCATGACACGGTTTACGAATTTGTTCCTTTTAATTACTGTTTATATTTCCAGTCAGTGCTAACCATTGTTTTCAAAACCGGACCGGACATTGAACCGGTGAAGGTACTGATTCACTGGTTTACTGGTTCAAACGGGATTGAACCGGATTTTATATAAAATAATATATTTTTTTAATTTTACATAGTATTCAAAGCAATATTAATATATATGTAACATTTTTTTAAGTTTACAATATTAAAAGGTATAAAAATATCACAAGTCATAACATGTATAAATGAAAAACCATAAAATAAAGTGAAACAAAATGATTCAAATTAACTACAACATAATATTTAAGGTAAAACATATTAAATAATAAATATAATTATATAACTATAATCAAAAAAATAAAATTGTGGCTTAAAAAAATTATAACAAATGATGTCATTTGGTTTAATTGATTTAAAAAAAACAATCCACATGGCTAAGAAACATAGAAGAGTATCCCAAAAGTTTAAGGAGTAAAAATATGAGAACAAAACAATTCCACATAGTTAAGAAACATAGAAGAGCATCCCAACTTACTTCTATAAATAATAGAGGTAATTTGACATTCAAAATCATGGAGCCTTTTGGTGAGCACAAAGCGAACTATTCTTTCGAGCTCAAATTTTAGGCTTCAATTGAGCTCAAATTTTAGGCTTCAATCGAACTTCTATTTTTTTTAGTTCGAGCTTTTTCTTCAAGTTTTAATATTATATTTCGACTTGATAATTTTTAGCTCGTGAGTTTTTGAGTTGAGTTGAGCTTACTTTTAAAGTTTTCGAGTTCGAGTTGAGCTCAGCAATACTTGAATTTAACTCGGCTCGTTGAACAAACGACGTCGTTTGGTTTAATTTTTTTTAAAAGAAAAAAAGTGAACCGGCGGTTCAAACCGATTTTGCCGGTTTTCAGCCGATTCACCCCAATTTTCTCGGTTTTCAGCCGGTTCTTCCGGTTCTTTACCGGTTCTGTGCTAATCAGATTTTGGGAGTTAACCGGACCGGACAGACCACCAGTTCACGGTTCAACCGGCCAATCCGGTCCGATTTTAATAACATTGGTGCTAACAGTGTAGTTTTGTAGTTCAGTAGTTCATATATCCAACAAATAGGTTTTCAATAGAAAATATATAGAAAAATCTCTAAAATATATGATAATTTTAATTTTTCAGATGATTGCTCCCTCCTGCCCTCTATCCCGGACTGAAAACCTCAAAATTTTAATTCATTTTGTTTGATTTAATTTTTTGTTGTTAATTTATATAGAATTATTATAAAACAAATTATGTTTCATTGAATTGATTTATTTTCAAATAAAATTCCCTTAATGAGATGGGAAAGCCTTCCTCAACTTTAAAAAGGGTGTTCCTATCCTCTTGGTGAACCTCAACTGTATTCTTGTCTATGAGGAAAAGAAAGTATTTTAGTTTTACTCGAGTACTCGACAAATAATTTTAGTAGTTAAAAAATATTATTTTTTCGAAAGGTTGAATCCGAGTAATTAAATTAATAATGTGTACATATATTATCAATGGTTAAAAAAAAGATTTTAAACATATTTTATCTAATAAATTTTCAATACTATTTTAAGAAAATAGAAAGGAAGAAAGTTTTTCAACCTTTAATATGTGCTTTGCTTTTTCATTTTCATTAACAGGCGGCGGCAGTCTTAGGGCAGATTGTCAGTCACCAATCTTTTTTACTTTTTCTTTATATTTTAGTTTTTAATAAGTATATCTTTCTTACACGTATTTTTCTTATATTATATTTTTCTCATCTTTTGGATCGTTTTCGATCGTTTTTTATTGATTGTCTCGTGGTTCTTTTTATTTAATTATTTTAGATTAGATTTGATATCGCTTCGATTTATTAATATATATTTATTTATTAGTTAATTGATTTTTTATGCTTTAGATCATCATATTAAATTTAGATATGCGGTTTTTGTTTAAAGATTAGTTTTTCATGACACTCGACTTTAATTTGCAATTGTCGATAGTTTTTCAATAGTTTCATGACTTTCATCACTTGTTATAATTTATTTACTGATGCAGTCAGATTTATTTGTATCGATCATTTTTCAAGTTTTTTTGTTAGGTTTTTAACTTTTTTCTTATATGATCTTTGTATCATCCCCGTGACTAGTTTCTTATATAATAGTTATATAAAAATGACCTAATTATGTGTTTGAATTACATTAATCGAATTAATGCTATTTTTATAACTATTAGTTATTAATCGAATTAAAATAAAATGATTGCATTTAATTGGGTCAATTTTAATTAATAAAAAAATTTAATAAGTTTTTTTATTCAAAATGGCAACTACGTTAATGATAAATAGAAAATGAGTTTATTTTGGGTTCGAAATTGAAAATATATTAGTTATATAATAAAATTTCACGTGATTGGACCAATTAACAAATTTCAAATTGAATTAACTAATAATTGAGTTTTAAAATTTTATCTAACCAATCTCTAACCGAAAAAATTTCAACAATCAACCATATAATCGAATTAATTCAGTTCAGAATCATCACGATTTAATTTAAGGATAATTTCATTTAAGAAAATACAATATAATATATTAATTATGAAGCCTAATCATCATAAAAGCTCAAACTGGTTAGAATTAAGCAATGTTATTAAAATCAGATCGGATCGGCCGGTTCGACCGGTTGAACCGTGAACCGATGACCTGTCCGGTCCGGTTAACTTCCAAAATCGGATGAGCAAAGAACAGGAAGAACGGGCTGAGAACCGGAAAAATCAGGGTGAACCGGTTAAAAACCGACAAAATCGATGTGAATCGCCGGTTCTCTTTTTTCTATAAAAAAAAATTAAACCAAATGACGTCATTTGTTAAACGAGTCGAGTTCAACTCGAGTACTGCTGAGCTCGACTCAAACTCGAAAACTTTAAAAGTAAGCTCAACTCGACTAACAAACTCACGAGCTAAAAATTATCAAGTTCAACTCGAACTCGAAATATAATATTGAAACTTGAACTCGAAAAGGCTCAAACTCAAAAAAAAAATTAGAAGCTCGATTGAAGCCTGAAATTCGAGCTCAATTGAAGCGAAAGAATAGTTCGCTCCGTGCTCACCAAAAGGCTCTATGATTTTGAATGTCAAATTACTTCTAGTATTTATAGAAGTCAGTTGGGATGCTCTTCTATGTTTCTTAGCCATGTGTGATTGTTTTGTTCTCATATTTTTACTCTTTAGACTTTTGGGCTGCTCTTCTATGTTTCTTAACCATGTGAGATTGTTTTTAAAAAAAATTAAACCAAACGACATCGTTTGCTATGATTTTTTTTCAGCCCCAAATTTATATTTTGATTATAGTTATATAATTATATTTATTATTTAATATGTTTTACTTTAAATATTATGTTGTATTTGATTTTAATCATTTTGTTTCACTTGATTTTATATTTTTTAACTTATATATGTTATGACTTGTGATATTTTTATACCTTTTAATATTGTAAACTTAAAAAAATTGTTATATATATATATTAATATTGCTTTGAATATTATGTAAAATTTTATATAAAAT